GAATAAGTAAGCTGAAAACTCATTGAGTGAAAACTATATTCCACTTATACACAGTCTGACTATCCTTACATATACAAAATTCTCTTGTTGAAATATTAGTATCCAAAGCAAAGGTTTAATTTTGGAAGTGGGGTGAGGGCACAGAAAGAAAAAAACTTTTTAAAATGGTGCCAGGGCCTTAATAAAAAGACCCCAGAAAATGGCCCTATCCATTCCACAATGTGAAGGCACCAAGAGAATGGGCCGCCATAGACTAGAAAGTGGGTTCTCACCAGACACCTCATCTCTTGGCTCCCTGATCTCTGACTTATCACATTCCAGAGCATCTGTTTTGTAAGTCACCTGGTCTCTGGTGCTTGACTTTGGGATGAGGTGAACAACAGGAGAGCACACTTTTGCAAAAAGAAATTTTTAAAATTCACTTTACACACCAACCACAGATCTCCCTCTCATCCCTCCATCCCCTCCTCAAAATAAGTAAGGCCTCTCGTTTTCAGTACGAATCTTAAATGGTCTTATTAATAAGAACAAACCCAAGGCCAGTTATTGGGGTGAATGCTGGAAGATCAGAGAAGCAGAACAAGTCACACCTTCCTCACCTCGCCAGTTCCTCAGCTGATCCTGTTTCCTCAGACTGGAAGCCTCTGAGTCCTCGTCCAAATAGATCTCAGCTGAACTGCTTCTCGAAAGCCTGAAAGCTTAACCAGCTCTAGTTCCTGGTACTCACGCCTTAAATGCCTTTCTGCTTTCTGCCATCACTTCCTGGGATTAAAGGCGTGAGTCACCATGCCTGGCTGTTTCCAGTGTGGCCTTGAACTCACAGAGATCCAGATGGATCTCTGCCTCCAGAGTACTAAGTGTGTGTGCCACCATTTTCTGGCCTCCATGTCTGTCTAGTGGCTGTTCTGTTCTCTGGCCCCAGATAAGTTTATTAGGGTGCACAATATATTGGGGAACACAATACCACCACACCTGTGGGGAGTCAGCAAAGCCTAGTACATTCAGTTGAGGCAGGACCAAGCTCTCCCCGCCTGCATCAAGGGTGAGCAAGACATCCCACCATAAGTAATGGGATCCAGAAAGCCAGCTAATGCACCAGGGATAGATTCTGATCCCATGCCAGGGGCCCCTCAAACAGACCTAGCTCCACAACTGTCTCCTGTATGCAGAGGGCCTAGTCTGGACCCACGTAGATTCCACAGCTGTCAGCGTCTAAAGTTCCTGAGTTCCTACAAGCTTGGTTCAGTTGTCTCTGAGGATTTTCCCACCATGAACTTGGACCCACCTTGCTCACATAATCCCTCTTCCCTCTCTTCAACTGGACTCTTGGAGCTCAGCTTGGTGCTTGGCTGTGGATCTTTGAATCTGCTTTCATCAGTTACTGGATGAAGGCTCTGTGATGACAATTAGGTTATTCACCAATCTCATTACCGGGGTAGGCTAGTTCAGGCACCCTCTCCACTATTGCTAATAGTTTAATCTGGGGTAATCCTTGTGGATTCCAGGGAATTTCCCTAGCACCAAGTTTCTCCATAAATCCATAATGTCTACCTCTATCAAGATATCTCTTCCACTGGAGAGCACACTTGTTATGTGTTTAGAGAAACACACTGCTTCCTGTAGCCTCAGTCACCAGAATGACTCTGGACAGTACTTCATGAATACACTATGGAAGCAAGGCTGGAGAAGAAGGTCATCTGGGTTCTGCCATGTCAACAAAGGATAGGGTTTTGCGGGACAAAAGGCACATGGATAAGAAAAAGCAAGTACATAAATAGAGAAGGGAGGAGACATTTTTAGAAAAGATAATGAGGAGAAAGGGAGACATTGGAAGTATTTTCTGAGCAATGAGAGAGACTCTTGTCCTGCTTGCTAGGCCATCAGAGGAAAGGTATCTTCCAAGGCACCGAGTGCCAGGAAAGATGACAGAACCAGAAAAGAGGATGAGATTTCACTGAGAAGTGACTGCTTTCAGGATGGTCACTTTAAAAGAAAACAGAAAAAACAAATTAATCCCTTCTCTATTGCTACCTATGTCTGATGCTCAGGACCTGTGAGTGACAATCATAGGAACGTGTTACTTCTAGGTCTATTATTTTACATTATTTTTGGTGGGATGGCCTTCAACTGACCATTTAACTGAGGCTGACCTTGAATTGATCCTCCTGCCTCTACTCAGGGCTGGGATTTACAGGTGTACACCACTGTGTCTGACATCTCATTCTTCATATTAAAGATATCATTTTCCTTTCATAATTATATATTAAATTACCAGAGACCGTCTAAATAATTTATCACTTAATTTTAGGTTTAGAAGTATGAAAAAAATTCAAGCATTTTCTATACCAGATAAAGAGCTTTGGCTATCATGTGGAGATGAATCAGTTGAATTGATCTGGTTTTAGTTGCTTTCGGAAGAAGCTTTTATCTTGTTTGGTGGATAATTATGTTGGTGGGTCAAGACCCTCCACATATGCACATATATGTGTCTGGGGATGAGTCTAGGCAATTCCGCTGTACATTTGTACTCATACTGACATTGATGGGACTCAAACCGTTTTGCTGGATTAGTTCCTAACCATCATATTCTGGTGGTCCCAATCTCCACCCTAGGCAGCTGTGATCCTCCCCCGCCCCCGCCCCCCATCTAGCAGGCTTCTACAATCTGTCAGTCACTGCACTAAGTCTGTCTGGCCATAAAATTTTGGCTTTGGCCAAACAATGGGCCATTCTACTGCTTGAAGATTGATCAGAAGAATTAAATCCCATATAAGTTGAACAATAAGTCCACCTTTATAATTATCCGTTCAAATGTTGAGAAATGACAAATGTTTGCTTTCATAATCTTGTTTTATCTGTGTCAACCTGGGGCTAGCACTAACCAAGCCCAAAGCTTGTCTTGGCAAACATCTTTATAAAGTGGGAATGGATGCAGCAAATACATAGAATGATACAAAGGTAAAAAAAAAAATAAAGACAGTTCTGTATATATTTCTTGTTTCTGGTTTCACATCGTCCACATGTCCTTAGGATATAGAATAGATAGAAGACTCAAATTATGCCAAATGGGAGTCTTCTCAGATCCTGAGAGACTGCATTGCTGGGGAAAGAATCACAGGAGGTTAAAAGCGGTTGGTTGATGCCCTACCTTGGGCTCCTCAGTAATCCCTGGAACTAGAGGAAGTTACTACTTCTGTCTAAACCTTAGTTCTCACTTCTGAAATGCAAAGTCACCTCCTGCTTTCTCCGCGATAGTTCAAATCATAAAAGTACCTGTCCTAGACAAATCTACCATGTTTAAATAACTGACAATGTGTGCACAGATAGGTGCTTTGTGATTTTATTCTTGATAATCATGCTTTCTTTTTCTTTTCCATTCCTTTGCTTATAAGCTTTCTGCTTGAAAAGAAAAAAAATTGTGGGATGCTGCTGGATTAATCCAGTGAAATGTAAATGTAATCAGTGACTAAATCAAACGTGCCTGTAGTCCACAACACTTCTAAAGCAAAAACAAAATTATAGATCCTTCTAATTTGAGCCAGCTGAAGCAACCACTGATTTTCACAGTTCCAGTGAAACAGAGAACTGTCAAAATTGATTGTCCCCGCAGATTAGGGTGCTGAGCACTTTAGGTACAGAGATCCAGCAACCTCTACCTTAATTTTGAGATCCTTGGAATTTGGCATTGCCATACTCCTGTTTGTCATTTCAATGAGCTCTTGACCTTTTCTGTCACTCTCTCTAATCCCTTTCTCAAGATCAAGGTCCTCAGGAGCATCCTAAGGGTTGACAAAGGCAAGCTGTATCACCTGCATGGACAGTGGTGTTTGGGAGCATTTCTATACTGTCCTGATTCGTGAACAGAGCACCATCACAAATAACCGTAGTTTGCAGCAACTCGGAACCTGGAACAGGGAGCTTCTGGCGTACAAACTTGATTTGTATTCTAAAGGCTATTTGCCTTTCGACAGAGAGCTTTTAAATTCAATTCCAAAATCATAATACAGAGCCTTTGATTTGTATGTCACATGCCCAACCATCTATTCTACTTTCGGACCATGCTATAACAGCATGGATTTATATCCCCAGTGTCTTTCACAACTCTAATTTGTTCCCAGCACAAAATACCACTTATATTAGTTTGAAATTCTATTCTAAACTTAGATCCCACGGTTTCTGTGTGGGATGTAAAGTTGACAAAACACGTGTTTTTTCCCCAATGCAAATCTCGCATGCATTGACTTTCAGGTAGTCAGGCTGACACTGTTGGAGGCGTACAAGATAGAAAATAACTCTGGCTAAATAAAAGCGTATGTAGAGAGAAAAGACAAGTGGAGCTTTTCAACTCACCGAGTTTTTAAAGACAGAACAAGTGTGTTCATTCTGAAGAGGCTTCAAGATTAAGGTGAAGTATTTACAATAAGATTGGACACATATTATGAGGTCAAGGAAGGCTGATAATCTATCCATTGTGACAGCATTCAATAATACTAAAGTTCATTATAAAATTGAAAATGGAAAATTCTAACTTCAAATGAATTATGAATGGTCAAAACTATTGGCTCAAAGACTTGGCTCTGAGGTGAAATGAGATTTCCATGAGGATGGGAACATTTCACATTTACACAGCAGTTCATATTCTCAAAGTCATGTGGCAGTGATGACTGAAAAATGCATCTTTAATTTGCATTGATGAAATACTGCTTAAGCATACACTCAGAGGATAGTAAACACTCTCGACCAGAGAGAGAGAGAGAGAGAGAGAGAGAGAGAGAGAGAGAAGAGATATGAATAAAGATATGCTTAAAGTCAGTTTGTAAAGCGAACTAAAAATGCCCAAGTGCCAATACATGGAAATGACTTAATACGAATTAAGAAAGTATGCCTTTGTTTTTACATTTACATAAATATTCATAGAACGCAAGAGCTTTTCATGTGCTTAGATGTTAAAGCTAATCCACATTTAGGAATATGAAAAAGATTGATTTATAAATATGTACTGCAATCTTCAGAGGCATTCCTTCAAGTGAAAGTCCTTCACAATATGTATTTTCTGCAAAACTGGAGTACTTGCCCTGCTCATCCTTTATCCTTGGCTCAGTGGAACAGGTTGTGAATTTATTTTCTCGAAGGCTGAACTTGTATCGAGATTTCAATGCCCTGGCGTCTTTCCCACGCTTATGTGTAACTTGTGCAAAAACTCCCTGTGTTTCTTCAGGCTTAGCAACAGGATTTGAATGTGATGTCACTGCCATCTCAGAACTCTACACACCCTGTGGTAAGGGCTAGGCTAAAATCAAGTTCTAACTCTGGAAACATCAGCAACAGAGATCATGCCAGTTCCCGGCTTGATCTGGTACAGCCTTGCCAGGCCTCCCCCTTTCTGCCTGCCGGAGCGGTGATGACCAGAGCAATTTCAGCTGTCACATAAAGATTGTGGAACTATATAAATCTCCACATGAGCCTGCAGAGAACCATTGACCACTAACCTGCTACAGCTCCCTGGACTGTCAGCATGGAACAGATATGAGTTATTTCAGAAGCATATTTGGAGGTCCTTTTGGTCTTACCTCTTTTATTGTGCTAATTAACACATCATGCTTGTTGCTGCACACTTACGATTTGGAAGTCCAGCTGGACTCTTGCTGTGCCCTGCAAGCCTTCTGTGGTTTGCTTTTCCTCTGCAGCTGTCTAGAATTCTCTTTAAAGATGTCATCCCCACCTTAGCCTTTCTCTTCTCAACAGTTGATACTGATGTAGAGAAAACAGTGGCATCAGGGATGAATTCTGTTAATCTTCTCCTTGACATCTAAATCATTGTCCCTAGTTATGCCCAGCCTTTCCTAGTCTTTCTTAGTAAGAAGTTTCCTTCTCTTTATTCCTTATAGGAACTCTATTATCACCACTTCACCTGTTTTAAAATATTTACTTCTACTCTCCTGTATTACTGACTTCTCCTCCCTCATTCCTTTTTTCTTCCTTCAGTGACAAATAAGATATCAAGATTTAGTCATCTCTGCAGGTTTCCCCATCACGATCCTGACGCACTTGCTCATAAAATCCCTCTTCTCTCTTTTTGACTGGATTCCTGGAGCTCTGACTGGTGTTTGGTTGTGGATCTCTGCATCTGCTTCCATCAGTCATTGGAGAAAAGCTCTGTGATAGAAATTTGGATCAATGGCTGTGGAGCCTGCATGGGACTGGAGTAGGCCCTCTGCATGGCAAGATAGTTGTGTACCTTGATCTGCTTGGGGAATCCCCTGGCAGTAGGATCAGAATCCATCCCTGGTGCATGAGCAGGCTTTTTGGAGCCCACTACTTATAATGGGAAACCCCATGCAGCCTTGAGGCAGGGGGAAGGGCTTGGACTTGCCTCTACTGGATGTGTCTCCTCTTGGGAGACCCTTGCCTTCTTGTGGGGGAGAGTGGGGGGTAGGTTGGGAGGGGGAAGCTGGGGGGGGAGTGGGAGGAAGAAAGAGGAGGATCTTTGATGTATAAAATGAATGAAAAAAAATTCTTAATAAAAAACTAAATGAAAATATATCAAGATTATCTAATCTAGTTTTAAATTTGTCATGTATCTCATGGGTGTGGTGGGGGTGCCATAGCACATGCACAAGCACAAGTATGAAGGTGTGCATGTCCATGTCCATGCGGATGCTAGAAGTTAACAGTGGATGTCTGCTGCTGTCACCTTTTACATTAATTTTTGAGGTAGAGTCTTTCATTGAATCTAAACACATTAGCTAGAATCACCAGAGAACTCTTTTGATCTGCTCATTGTTCTGTAAAGGCTGAAGTTCAAGTGAGACTCAAACATATCTAGACTTTTGTGTGGGTGCTGGAGATCAGACCCACTGATCCATCTCTACAGCCACACCGAACTCTAATTTGATTTAATTCAGTTCTTCATTTTTCTAAGCAGCTCTTTATGTAATAGTTTGGGTTCATCCTTCATTATATGTCTTATTTGCCTGATGTCCTACAGTCTGGCTTCCATTTCTAAGGTTCAACTGATATTGTACTATGTCTATAGTAACACCTACCCTGATGTTATAGCTGCTGTAGTTTTTAAAAGACCAATTAGATCATTTCTTGTCATTGCCTGAAATACTTTAATGCATTTTAATAACTAAATCTGGACTAAATCCAAACTCCACCATATGATCAATAGGAAATGTTAGTACACGTATTAGTTACTTTTCTATTGCTGTGATAAAACACTATGACCAAGGCAACTTATAGAAGAAAGAGTTTATTTGGCTTATGGTTGCAGAAGAGTAGAGTCCATGAAGGCCCAGCAAAGGCAAAGTGATAGGAGTAGGAAGATGAGAGCTCACATCTTGCACTGTGAATTTGAAACAGAGATAGTGAACCAGAAATGGCTTGAGTCTGTAAACTCTCCAAGTCTGCTTTCATTGACAAGCTTCTTCCAAAGCTGAAAATAGTTCACTCAATGTGGGACCAAATATTCAAGTGACTGAGACTATGGGGCATCTCACTCTAACTATTACAATTTCTGAGTTTTTCTTCAGTTTCTTTTTTGAAGTTATCATATGATTACCATTTGGTCAAATCTTATTGAGTTCACATTTATGATTCCCCCTCCCTCCAGAGTTGTTTCATCTACTTGAATGCTTCGTTTTTAACCAACCTCTTACATTATCAAGTTTTACATGTAAAGACTCAACTCAATTATTTCCTTTAATTTCTTTTCTGTTCTTTTAAAACTACCTTTTGGTGTTCAATGCCCCACACTTGCACTGTTTTCCTTGGTTTAAGGTATAATTCTTAGTTTACTGCTTCATTCTCTTATTAGACTGAGCTCTTTGCAGACAAAGTTCTTGCCTTACTTATTTTGGTAGCACTAAAATGCAGCCTACTCCCGCAGAAAAATTTATTATGTATTTGCTGTGCATTGTGGTTAATAGGTATATTTCCCTATTGATGAGTGCGCTCACAAGGATGCTAGATCTAGCAACAATAAATGAGATAGAACAGAGCACACTGTTGGTAACACCAAACATCCAACATCAAAAAGCAAAGAGCAGGGTGACATTGTAATTTTCTTACAATATTAGCAACCAGAAATCTCAATTTAATGTATCTAAAAGAAAAATAAATTTGTATCTAAAATTGGTGAGCAGATATTTTATTTTTCCTAAGAAGGGTATTTGTGCTTTTATAAGGAAATGAAAAGGCATAAATTACATTTGAATAGCAACCAGAAATTCAGAATGAAGGTCACATGTAAAACGCTGCAGAATAGAAAGCAGCTTGCTGAATTATGATCTCCATGGGGCCTCTCAGTGCAGGACACTGCAGATCCTCATAGAGAGGGCAGCAGTGGAGGAACGATGCCAGGAGGAACAGAAACCTCAGCCTGCATTAGCCTGAGAGCGGACTGACGCAGGCAAGTTTGTAATAGAATGTTGGACAATGTCAGATGTGTGTGAGGAAAGAAGCCTGAAATCGGAGATCAAGCTATTCGTGAGTCACAGTCAAAGAAAGGAAAGTTTTTAATTGCCCTGGAATGACGTCTGAAATGTGAAACGGTTTGCATTACACAGTGTCTAAATAATCGGTATTCATAAGCTAAATCTATGGAATGGCCTGCATTCTGTGATTAAAGAAAGTAACACAGTAACATCATTTACAATAATGAAGGCAGAAAGATTTTCCATGGCACCAGTAGAACACAAAGCAACTTTAAATGTAGTGAACAGTAATGCTCAAGTGAAGAAATATTAAAGAACTAATCATCCCATTGACTTTCCTTTTTCTCTTATGATTCTGAAGGCTAAAATTATCAACTGGAAGTTTCAAAAGGATTTGTGAGTCACATGATAGGATCTTCAAGTCAAATGAAGGCAGATAAACTCTGTGTCCTTCTGTGGTCATTTCCAATGTTCCTCATTTCTCCGTCCTGAGGATTTGAAAGGCTGAATGTGTTCTTGCCAAACCTACATGGCATCTGCCAGTTTTTCTCCATCTGAGAAGATGAAGCTTCACCTCTTCTTTATTTGCTTTCGCAAGTCACTTTAATTAAGGACAAGAGGCACAGGTCCACCTTCTGTTTGGTCAAATGTGGGAAATTCCTTGCTCATCCTCTCTTTAAAAATCATTTGGTTTAACAGATGCAAAATTACTCAATGAAATACTTGTAAACCCAATCCAAGAACACATCAAAAAGATCATCCATCATGATCAAATAGGCCCCATCCCAGAAACGCAGGTATGGTTTAATACATGAAAATCAGTAAATGTTATCCAGCATATTAAAAAAAACTGAAAGAAAAAATTTCATGATCATCTCATTAGAGGCAGAAAAGAACTTTGACAAAATTCAATGTCCCTTCATGATAAAAATTCTGGCAAGATTATGGATACAAAGGACATACCTAAACATAATGAAGACAATTTATGGTTAGCTATAATCAACATCAAATTAAATGGAGAGAAACTCAAAGCAATTCCACTAATATCAGGAATAAGAGAAGGTTGTCCACTCTCTCCATATCTAGTCAATATAGTACTTGAAGTTCTAGTTGGAGAAATAAGGCAATTGAAGGAGAACAAGGGGATACAAATTGTAAAGTTAGGAGTCAAACTACTGTTATTTCAAGATGATAAGATAGGATACGTAAGTGACCTAAAATAATTCTACCAGGCAACTCAGAGCTGAGCTGACAAACACTTTCAGAGAAGTGGCAGAATACAAAATTAACAACAACAACAAAATCAATAGCCCTCCTATATACAAATGACAAATGGACTAAGAAAAAATTCAAGGAAATGACACCTCTCACAATAGCCTCAAATAATATAAAATATCTTGGGGTAATTCTATCCAAGCAAGCAAAAGACTTGTATGATAAAAACTTCAAGTTGTTGAAGAAAGAAATTGAAGAAGATATCAGAAGATCTCCCACATTCATGGATCGGTAGTAATCAGAGTGAAAATGTCCATTCTACCGAAAGCAATTTGTAGATTCAAGGCAATCTCTATCAAAATTCCAACATAATTCTTTACAGAACTTGGCAATTTTCAACTTCATATGAAAAACAAACAAACAAAACTCAGGATAATTAAAACAATCCTGAACAATCAAAGAACTGCTGGAACCATCACCATCCCTGATTTCAAGTTGTACTACAGAACTATTATTAATAAAAACTGCATGGTATTGGCATAATAACAGACACATCGATCAATGGAATTAAATTGAAGACCCAGATATAAATCCAGTACTTT